CTGCTGACAGGATGTGGTCTTCCCCTAGCAGCCAAGGCACAAATAGAAATTAATGAGGCTGCCTCGGTCTTTGAGTTACCAAGCTAAAATCTTTAGAATAATTTCTGTAGGTTTGCTCTCTGGTGCGACTGCAACTCCCCGTAACTGATCCCCACCTGGTTTGGCTTGATTTTACAAGGGTTCATCAGTCTCAGTTGCCATATTTTCACACGTATAATCTGCAGGATTTCCTCTAACGAACATGTGTGATCCAGAAGCCTTGCAGGCTGCATGTATGAACTACTTCGGATCTAGAGGTGCAGCACCTCAAATTGTTCATAAACTGGTCCCATGCCCCAGGAGCCCTACTGAGTCTGCCTTTTGCCAACACATCCCAGGCTGGACTGTATCAGGTGAGCAAACAACTGGCTGTATTTTAATCCCCGTCTCCCCATTCTGCCCATAGGCTAATTTTGACACAAACTTCGAAGACAGAAATGCCTTTGTGACCGGCATCGCCAGGTACATCGAGCAGGCGACGGTGCACTCCAGCATGGTGAGTCCCCTGGGTGCTGCCCCAGCGATGCCGAGCCTGCGGTGCGTGCGCTGCCCCAGCAACGCCTCTCTGTCTTTCAGAATGAGATGCTCGAAGAAGGCCACGAGTATGCTGTGATGCTTTACACATGGAGGAGCTGCTCACGAGCCATCCCCCAGGTACCAGGGCCCTTCCCAGTCAGAGGTGTTCCCAGAGCACCTAATTGGTTTTGTTTTCAGCGTGGGTTAGTTTGGACTGGAGACAGAAAAGCAAAAAAGCAGAGAAGACTGAAGCAGATAGAGAGGTTGAAAAGAGAGACCACTGAGTCTTCAGCTTGTCCTCTCCTCACCGAAGTCTCAACCACTGATCTCAGCAGCTAGTAGCCATTTCAGAAGCAGATCTGTACTGCTGCCCTTCCAAAGGGCAAGTTGGCTCAATCCCCAAAACCTCCTAGCAGTGCCTCGCAGCTCAGTGACGCTCACCACAAGCCAACTGCCTTATACACATCCCGAGGTTTCCCAAGCCCCTCCCCTGCTCCCCGGAGCAGTCGCACCCGAAGTTATTTCGTCCCCGCAGGACCAGCTTGTTTGCCCTACAGCTGGTAACAGGACTCGCTGAGCACAGCTCTGGTCCAGCACGGTACTTGGGATCGTGCTGTGTTACATCACTTGGGTCTTTATCCAATTCTTTGTCTGGAGAATGGGTAGACTTTGCTTTAATTAAATCAGTGAGCAAGACATGGTCCCAATGCACTGCTTGAGTATTTTCCTCTCTTGTGTTTTGGGGAGATGGAGTTTACATCGGGCAAAGGCAGTTAGCTTTTGGAAATTGAGAGTAAAATCATCAGATCTGGTTTATATCACACTTTCCTGATGCCATTGTACAGTGTCATACCATTCCTTGATGTCAGGAATTTCAACTTCAGTTAAAAATTGCCCCAGTGCCAAGTGGGACTCCTGTGTTGTGTGAAGAAGGGAGCCCCGGCAGCCTGGGAGGAAAGCAGTGGGTCCTCTTGAGATGTGGCAGACTCAGGCTCTCCCTGACTTGCACAGAGAAGATTAGGCAGCTGGGGCAGGTTTCAGCAACCCAAACTGCTCCCCAAACTCTGTGGTGCTCTCTCTGCTCCCACGGGAGCCCCAGAATTGTGAGTTGTGTGAGGTTGCATGAAGGAGCATTTCAATGTGCCAGGAACATTTCCCCAAATGCCCTTTTTTGCTGCTGATATACCTGAAGGTCCTGATCTACCCCGACATTTAATCATTCTCCTCCTCTACTGTTAGTTCTGCTTCAATGGTTTTCTAGTCCTTCTCTCTCCGACCTGAATTTCGGTGGCTTCATCCTGCAAACAGCTACAGACATGAGTAGGGTTGCCCACATGGCCCACTGATAGTGATTCAGACTCCGACTCAGAGCTTGTCTTCTGCAACGTGAACGCATGACGGATCACTGCAAAAACGCCGACTGACAACGCGGCAGGGTGGGTGCAGTGCACTTCCATTAGCCCTACGGATAAAAGGGTTTGCAGCTTTTCCATGGAGCCAGGAGAAAGTATTTCCACATGGCTGGCAATGCCCACGTTTGTGATTCCCCAGGAAAGGTCAAATCTCAGTTCCCCTCGGGTTTTACTCTGCTGATGCTCTCATGAGACCCAGCCATGGGGAGATGCCTGATGCTGATTGCATATTTGCTTGTCTCCCACTTATATTTGATGCTGTGCTGCTGTTGCCTCTCCTGGCTACGCTAACAGAAGGCAGGTCATGGCCGAGTCGATGGCAAGACAGTGCCACAGATCATCTGTTTTGTCATTCTAGTGTGCTCCCATCCTGGTCTCCTCCCCAAAGTTCGTGCTTTTCCAAGCACAGCTTGTGGGGTCCCTGCTCTCTGCCCCGTCCTCCCCCCAGGGCTGCAAGCAGTGCCGCGTGTGGCAGAGGAGCAGACAACACCGTGGCAGAGCGTTCATTTACAGATTCACCAGATTTGGTCTTGCAATGACCCCTGCACTTTGCCATGGGACACATGGCTGTGGCTGGGGGGTCCTGTTCTCAGCCCCCCAGCCTGGCTGCTTGGTTATGTGCACCTCCCTGGGCGCCATCAGAGACCGTGGTTTTACGGTGAAGAGCAGAGCCTACACCTAAACGTGCACCACTCCTCCCTACCGCGAGCTGCATCCTCATGGCCGTCAATATTGCCCGACTGCGGTATGAAACACCGGGGCAGGGACGTTAGATTCCCCACTACAGAGAGGGAAAAGCTACTTTTGCATCTTCCCACGCATAAAGCTGGCTGACTTGTCCCCTTGCACCCTGGGGATCAGCTGCTGGGCTACTAAATTTGCACCAGAGCCATCAGCCCCACCACAGCCTTGTGTCAGCAACAACTGGAAACAAAACCAGAGGAGAACAGCAGGATGCGTTGCCTTGGGCGGTTGGGGTTTTCCCTAAAAGTTTGGTAATGACTTCAAGTAAGTGCTTGGAAATTAGGTGGATGACAACTAAGTCCTTAAATTTAGCTTCCTAGGATTCCAGTGAAGGTGACTCACTTCATTGCTGCTAGCCACATACAAGCCCAGTGATTTTTAACGGGTCTGCAACAGAACCAAAATTACCCCAGCAAGGCTATAGCAGAGCCATAGCCCGGTGCCTTCTGTGTTCATGAGACTTTGCAACACAGTCTCGCATAACTTTACGATATAACATTCCCACATTGTGTAGCAAGTCCAGACTCCATATGGCATGTGTTCTACCCCAGACAATGCGTTAGAAGACTCTTATTTCTCAGAGTCAGGTTTATAATGCGTGGAGAGAATTTTACATCTGAGAAATAGCCCCTTCTGCTGTCACCTAGTGCCTTGAGAACAAGCTCCCTCTCGGGTCCCTCCATTGTCCTCAGATGGGGACAGGATTCATGTGGAACAAGCAGAAGATGGTGGCCGTTGCTGTCCACGCTGTGTTAGAAACTCCAATGCTGACAAGGACGATTTCTCTTTGCAACGCAGGTGAAATGTAACGAACAGCCAAACCGAGTGGAGATTTATGAGAAGACGGTGGAAGTCCTGGAGCCAGAAGTCACCAAGCTTATGAAGTTCATGTATTTTCAGGTAAGTGGTCAAGGAGAGAGGTAAAAATAATTTATTACTTTGTTGTTAACTTATCCTAGGCAGGGCTGTGCTATCCTTGCCTGCCAGGCCAGCTTGGAGAGCCCCTGAGCCCCCTGGTAGGTCTCCTCCTTGCAGCCACCAGCAGATACCTAAGACCTGTCTGAAGGAAAATCCGTGTCCCCCTTGCTCAGCCCCAAAATCATGCATGTAAGTTGGGAATGAGCACACCTAAGCCTTTGAAGCTCATGGAGGACCAGAGCCCCCACTGTGTGGAGCTGATGGGTGGCACAGGCACCTGTTTTTCTGAAGTGTTGGCTGGTGGATGTGAAGAGCTGTTTCTCCACTGGCAGCAGCACAGCTTGTTCTTCTGCTCTTTCCTCTGAAGCAAAGCCAGGAAAAGCTGAGGGCTGGTGGTGCAGCTGGTGCCTGGGGTGGGATGCATCCAGCTGGACACCCTTCTGCTGTGCCAGCAGGAACACGGAGGTGCTCACAGCCCCCTAAACTCAGGGGTCAGGTGGCAAAGAGCACCAAAGCTTAAATTTAACAGTTGCTACACTTGAGACACTTGACAAAATAATACGCTTAGATCCCAACAGAGCAATGACCACGTGGCAAACACAGAGCTCGTGTGGGCTCCAGGGACCTCTCCCCATCACTGCCTGCGTTTATAACTGGCTACAGCTGGGTTTCACCATTGTTTTTAGGTTTTATGTCCTATGAGGTCTTTATGTCCCACCTGAAAAAGTGAAGCCTGATTTTGCAGAACACGCTGCACTCGGGGCAGGCATAAACAGAGGGTGTGAGCCCTCCTGCAGCACTGAGGACGTTTGAGTGCCGTGGTTTGCTACGCTGCTTTGTTTCGTGGCGACAGTGGAGAGGGAGCCTGGAGCCTTGATCCCCAGCATAAAAATGCTTTTGTTAAAAGGAGGGGGTGGTGGGTGGGTGGAGGAGGGTCCCGTCGGTGGTGTGGTGACTGCACGCAAGCTGCTGCTGAGATGACCCTGTCCCACTGCTTTCCAGCGCAAGGCTATCGAGCGGTTCTGCAGCGAGGTGAAGCGCCTGTGCCACGCTGAGCGGAGGAAGGACTTTGTCTCTGAGGCCTATCTCCTCACGCTGGGCAAGTTCATTAACATGTTTGCTGTCCTGGATGAGCTGAAGAACATGAAGTGCAGTGTCAAAAATGACCACTCCGCCTACAAAAGGTGAGAGGGGGTGAAGCAGCGCGAGCGGGGACAGGACTGCACCTGGGCTGCCCAGCAGGGAGGTCGGGTGGACATCAGGACGCCGGGTTTCTGCGCTGTCGTAGGCGCTCTGTGAGTTCAGGCAAATCTCGGAGCCCCACTGTGTTTTGGTTCCCTCTTGGTAACACAAGAAAAGGGCAGAGCTGTACTGCAGGGAGGCTCTGAGGCCGCTGCATTGCAGGTGAAGCAGGGAAGATGGGTGGTGAGAGTCTCACGTGGGGTGAGTGGTCCTTGGTGATGTTGGATTTCTCCCTTCCAGAGCTGCCCAGTTTCTGCGGAAGATGGCAGACCCCCAGTCCATCCAGGAATCCCAGAACCTCTCCATGTTCCTGGCAAACCACAACCGCATCACACAGGCAGGTCCCTTTCCTCTGAACCAGTTAACCTTTCTGTGTGTAGAGACAGGCAGTGATCTCAGCAGGGCTGAGAGTGCTTCGGACTGGACCGTGGCAATAGCTGCCTTTTTTGTTGTGTCATTGCCGCTGTTTCCAATGATTTTGGGGTCAGGCTGTATAATTCTATCCGTATCTCCTTCTCATGGGTCATCCTGGGTGGCTTTGAAGGTCTCTTTATGTCAAGACAAGGATGAAGGTCTGAAAGATGTAAGAAAAGCTCTCGGTGTGGGGGTTTCCACCAGAAGCTCTTCCCGTTTTCCCTAGTATATCCATCCAGTCCATCTCTGGGACTGCATGGGGACTGCAGATCTGACCCAGGGCCCTCCACACTCCACAGGCTCTGTAGCTTCTGCTCGTTAGGTAAAATATTGCATAGAGGCAGGAGAGAGTCGGCAAGCCTGCTTCTGAGGCATCTTTTGTTACATCTCACTATCTGCCGTTTGGCTGTTGTGATCGGTCTGAAGGGAAGAGCTGTCCTGCAGAAGGAAGGTTGTTCCTTACAGGTGGTACCATGAGGTCAATCTTCTGCCTGTAACTTAAGAAAGGCACACAGACAAGGTTTGAAGAAACCTCTTATCATTCTACGCTTAATCCTTCAAATGTGTTTCTCCCCTGGTTCCTGCTGTTCCTTTGTCCATGTGGATAATGTGGCCCCTGTTGATGCTTCAGTGTCTGCACCAACAACTAGAGGTTATCCCTGGCTATGAGGAATTGCTGGCTGATATTGTCAACATCTGCGTGGATTACTATGAAAACAAGATGTATCTCACTCCCAGTGAGAAACACATGCTCTTAAAGGTGAGATTTGTCCATGTTTATGGGGCTGGGTGCTTGCATAATCTCACTTTCGTTTTAATAGAATAAAATTCCCTCCTGGGACAATGATTCTCTTAAATTTCTTCATTTTTTTTCTCCTTTGGGTATACATGCATCCCTTCTCTGCAGGGCCAGTGTCCTCTGGAGACGTGCATGGCTGAGAGATGGGAAGGCTCTCTATATGCAGCACCAAAGCTGCCTTCCTCCTGTTCCTGTTTCCTTTCTGATCTCTGTTATTTTGTGTCTTCTGCTGCGATAGCTCAATCCTCCCATTTTCACCTCTTCTTTGTAGCTGAACAGACAGGTTGTATCCGTGGGTCGGACATGTCCCGCCCCAGTGCTCTGAAGTGTCACCTCTGTCAGGCAGTGCCATCAGCTGCCTCTGTTCCCGCTGTAACTTGGACCTTCTGCCATCATTTCGCTCCTGTTCTTTCTGGCCTTCTCCCATATTCCCATATAAAAATCTTCCTTCCTCTCTCCCTTTCTTCTGCTCTTCCCCATCTCTGTCTTTTCCCCCAATCCTTCCCAAGTTTGCCAGCAGCTCTGCCTGCCTAGGCCTAAGCATATGTGTGGTGGTGGTCTCCAGCTGGTGGACGAGACCACCAGTGAGTGCCCTGCATTCTCCAGAGCTAGAAGGAGTTTTTCTGTTGTGCATGGATGTGTGGGATCATGGGCTTGATCTGGGTAACTGTATAAGACATGCCAAAATCACCACTATGCAACCCTGAATTTTCTGCTTGATGCCCATTCCCAGCAATAATCCCCGGAGAAGGCAGATCCTTTCACTTTTGGTTTCCTGACTCTAAAGAGCCCTCAAGATGAACATGCAAAGTACCTGCTTGTTTTGTTTATTTGTCCTTACTGTAAGTCAGTTATTACAGTGATTGCAGTCACTATTACCATAAGAACTTCATTACCATGGTATGAGTCAACTAAGGTTCTTTGAAGGATAATGTGGGTAGTTTGAATATCTGTAATGATTTGTACTGAATTAAAGGGAAAAAATCAATCCAGGAGAATATTTTAAATGTTTTCAATTCTTCTCCAGGAGTAAATGTTTGCCTTTGGGTGGAGAAGACTTTTGGGTTGTTGTTGTGTGGGAGAGAGGAAGAAGAAATTACCAGAGTGAGCGTCATGTGTTTTTGCACAGAACATAGAAGCAATCCATCGTGTGTCCTCTGTCTACTATGTACATCTTTGCAGCTGTGTGCACGTTTTATACAGTGTTTTCACGAGTGTCAGGTGGTACAGGAGCCTGAAATGGTCTTTGCTTATACTAAGTGATGGAGAACTGTCTTTGACTTGTGCTGCTGACTTCACCCTAATGAAACCTAGCCTTTCCGTCTTCTCCAGGTGATGGGGTTTGGCCTGTATCTCATGGATGGGAATGTCAGCAACATTTACAAGTTGGACACCAAGAAGAGGATCAACCTTAGCAAAATAGACAAATTCTTCAAGGTCAGTGACCTGTCTGGGTGAGGCTGGAGTTTACTGCAGACCAGTGAATTAGCAGCCGGTGCCACTGCACGTGCTGCCAGCAAAAAACAAACTGCAGGAGTCTTTTACAGCTCAAAAAAAACCCCGAAGGGTTGAGAAATTATCTAGGCCGAAGGATGAGGAATGGGATTGCTGTGAACATGCACGGGCACAGAGCCGCAGCGTGGGTGAGACGAGCGATGCCGGCCCTTGCGCCAGCGGGGCTGCGGGTGCGTGAGCGGTGCCCAGGGCTGGCTCTGCTCCCGTGCTGCTGGCGCTGGAGCCGGTGGGAGCCGAGGGCCCTGCACGCCCTTGCTGGGCAGCCGGCTGCCTCTGCGGCTCTGCCCGCTCCCCGCCCGGGGGGGGCGGG